CGAGGAGTGGCTGGTGGGTTTGAACCGCCAGCCTTCTGGTTAGCAGTCAAGTGCCTTAGCCACTATGCTACCAGAGCTCCCAGGCACCTCTTAGGGGGAAAGAAAAGAACAACCAGTTGCTATGCACCCACTTCCCGCTCCTGGTGATCCCACATGCCAGGGCAGAACTGTGCTCCAGAGACTCCTCAATGGCTGATTTGCTGGAACCGGATCATCAAGCCTTTCTTCCAATAGCGTCTGTGAACGTCACAGGCACGGCCATACTCCACTAAATGCTACCACAGCTGAAAGCTAGCCTCGCCCAGACCGGAGGTTCAGGGCCAAGATAAGCCCACCCCTAAAGGGTGGGACTCATCACCAACCAACAAACGGATAAACAAAAGGTGGCATATCCACTCAGGGGAAGGTGACTTAGCCGGTAAAAGAAACCAAGTACTAGCACCTGCTAGACCAGGAACCTTGAAAATACTGTGCAGAACAGACCACAAAGCCCAGAACTGAGAACGGAGATTCTTCTGAATTCTTTCCAGTGGAAGGCACTTCCTTTTCTCTTTTGGTTCATTTGCTGTTTGTCTTCCCCTCTTTTGGAAGTAAGATTTGCATTATTTCCCTACTTTGGCATTCCTAGGCCTTTAACTATGGAAGAACCTCTCAACTCTCAGAGAGTCCCAATCTAAATCTGAAGTAGGCATTAACACAGAGCTGCCAGAGGCTCAAATGAGAAAACGAACAGAACTCCTGCAGGGGAGAGCAAACATTACAAAGACCCTAGAGATGATGGGTCCCTTATCTGAGAGAGAGATTTAAAGTCAGGATGGAAATTTCAGAGGAGAGATGTTGGGTTTGGATCTAGATGTGGGAAGTTTGCAGTGCTATGTCCTTGGGTACCAGGATATACTAGTCTGCACCTCAGGAGACTAACAGCGGAAACGTACAAAGTGCTCAGTATGTGAGAGGATGAGGTCGCTTAAGACCAATATACAGAGAAAGCAAGACAGACAGACAACAATGCAGGAACAGCAGCATTTAAAAGCTTGTTAGAAAGTAGCTAGACGAAGGCAGGAGGGAAGACTTCAGAAGGCAAAGGAGAAGGGAGGAGCAATAGAATCCAAGGCTCCCCAAAGGTCAAGTCAGGTTAAGACAGAAATTTACAGGCAAGAGGTCCCCCCATAAGCTTGGCAAGATTGGTTTGGCTAGAGCACTGGGGACTGAGCTTAGCAATGGGAGGAGGAGCGAATGGTTGAGAAGAAAAGAAAATCGAAGTCAACTATGGACTTTTCCCAGGCACGTCACTCCTCACCAACATACAGCTCTTAAAAAGAAGACTCTTCTCTGTGCATCAAAAACTAGAAGAGATTAAGAATCATTTACAGGGCCCAACTTGGCACTGGTCTCACCTATTGAAAGCTACTAGAAATAAACCAAAATACATTGTTAATATTCACATATACACTCTGACTGCAGGCAACACACTAGACTGAGAAAATACACATTTGCCTCTAGTGGCAGACACACACACAAATGACTTAAATACACAAATGTTATGACAATCTTTCTCCACCCTACTCTTACCAAAAATACTAAATAAATAAAAGAAGATGTGAACATGACAATGCAGTTCACTCAGCTGCCCAAATCCGGTTAGGCTCAAGGCTTCCACCACTGAGCTAAAGACAAAAGGGCTGGCAGCGTCATTTAATTACTGGATGATTCTTTAAACAGAATTGAATTAGAAAACACTCTTACAGGAACAGGTCTAAGAATCTTAGAGATGAGAATTTCAATTAATTACAATTTCTACCCTTCAGAAAATAATACACACACATACACACACACCACTGGTTATTCCTAGAATCACAGAACAGGCAATAACATGCAATAACCCAACACAATCAGTGAGAGACACTGCTATTCTGGGTATGCTGTGTGGCGTGGAAGAAAGTACTGGCACCGGGAACCGAGGGTTCAATCCAGCTGCAGTGAAGCAGCCATGGCACTTGCAACACGTCATGGGGCTTCTCCAAATCTCAGGACCCTCAAGCACAAACTTCTTCTATCACAATTCCCTAATCACAAACTGATTGTGAGGCTCCAATGCAAAAATGTGTATGAACCCATACATTAAAAAAAAAAAAAAAAAATCCAAGGAAAAGTAACTACTTTACTTTCCGTACCTTCAACTTTAACTGCCTAGAGGGAAGAAATGGGAGGTGATAGCCCTCCAAATAGACCATCTTCACTCCATGGCCACTGTCACTCTGCTTATTCGGACCACCTCATCTCTCCCCCAGCTATTAATCTGCCCCCACGCTGGTCTCCTTTCTCCCCTCCAGACTGTAAACACGTTGAGGGTAAGAACGTGTCTGACTGAGCACTGTATTCGTAATGCCCAATGGAAAACACACAGATCTGCTGAGTGAAACGCCGAGCTCCAGCAGAATGGGAGCGACGTGGGCCTGCTTACAGAGAATCCAAACCCACTGCCAGCGAGTCAGTGCCGACCCACAGGGACCCGACAGGAACTGCTCCGCAGGCTGACAAGGTTGTACATCTTTACAGAAGTAGACTGCCTCACCTTTCTCCCACGGAG